GGGTGATGGGAATCTGAAAATGCACTGCCTGGAAGAGTAATAGAGTTACGAAACCTTGCAAACTTTAAAAAAGTGTCTGGGTGCATGCTTGAAATATCATAACATTCAAGGCTATAGGCCAAGTGTTGGAAAGTGAGATTGATGTAGATAGGTTGGAACAAAGGGCATCTTCTGTGCTACATGTCAGTGTTGGGGCTGGTTTTGAAATCAGTGATAACAGGATACTGTCCCTGATGCACCCTAATTCAAACAGCACATCTATTTCGCAGAAATACCAAAGTGTTAGTGACACGATTAAAAAGATACATCATCAACTGTTAGTAACAAATGCAGAAAGAAGGCAAGGATTGATAAAAGAATATATTTTATTAAATCCACAGCAAACATTTTTCTTGCCACAAAAAGCTTCTCCAAAGCTGGAAACCACACAAAAAAAAAAGAAAGAACGAACTATGGATACTGTAAGTCAGGAACAAAAACAGAAGTTGCTGTAAAAGCTCAGCAGCTCTGGCAGAATCTGTGAAGAAAAGATCAGTTAACTTTTCGGGTCCTTTGAGGAAGAGAGACTGGACCTGAAACGTTAACAGATTGTTTTTTTCTTCAGATGCTGCCAGACCTGCTGAGCTTTTCCAGCAACTTCTGTTTTTGTTCCTGGAAACCACAATGATTTTCATGTGCACAAATTTTCATTTCAGGATTTATTGTTACACAAGTAGAAAATGACATGTATGCGGTAAAAACCACATGAAGTTGACAAAATATAAACTACTCTAACCACTAGAGGGCCACAGATTCACTTTATAATCAAAAGAAAGTGGATGAACTTTTTCACAACCATTCCCTTTTTAGGAGAAGTCAGCAACAGTGATTTCAACTGCTAAAAGCTCTGCTTTTTTTTGGAAAAGAGACTCCAGATATAATAAAATGTAAGCCTTGTTGCAGTGGATCAAGTAAATAACATTCCAATTTAAAAGGAAATGTGCTAGATGGTGACATACATTACCTTCATCTTTTTACAAAATTGCTCAATTTTTCCAGTCTTCCCAATCTGAAAGAGTGGATACAGATGCATTTTTTTAAACTTTCAAAGTATTTTCCCCCACACACTCCTTTTTAAACTCTCATCAATATTGCAGTGAACCAGGTCAGACAGTGATTTTCCCTCCTCTTTTCCAACTGTTGTTTCCTCCCATGATAGTTGATTTAAAGACAACTGCTGGATATTTGGACAATTTTTTCCACGCTGTTCTGGGAATAACCCATGTGCGAAGGAAGCTGTAATGAAATCGTGACTGCTAGATATGCACCCATTTTAAGTTGTTCTGATTTTACCTAGGCTGTCACCTATACTGGATCACATTGCATGAATCATACAAAGGACGAATGCTGAACAAAGTTGAAGCTGATGCTTGATTTATTAATTATTGATTTGATTTATTAATTCTGTGCTGTTTCCTCAAAAGTACATTAACTTGTTGGGAACACCCAAACTCTTGACATTTTGTAAATAATACATTTTAAAGATACAGCCAACACATACAAACTGCAATATTATGTTGGTGCCACCAGCACTTTGTAAATATTTCCACGAAATAATAATTTGTAGAAATAAATAGAACGTTAAAGGGTGAGAGGCCACCTGATAGAAGTTGACAAAATTGAGAGGTATCGGTAACCAGAGTCTTTGTCGCAGGGTTGAAATGTCAATTACGAGAGGACAGAGGTTTGAGGTTAAAAAAAGGGGTAAGTTTAAAGGAGATGAGAGGCAGGTTTTTGTTTACAGAGGGAGGTAAGTGCCTAGAACACTGCCAGAGGAGGCTGATACAACAGCAACATTTAAGCAGCATCTTGATAGAAACATGAATAGGCAGGGAATAGAGGGATACAGGACAGCATAGAAGTAAAAGGTTTTTAGTTTAGAAGGTGCAGTCTGGTGGGCTGAAGGGCCTGTTCCTGTGCTGTATACTGTTCTATTTTTGTTCTCATGTTGTAGTGAAGTAATGCATTCAGCCCAGTAAAATTACAGTACAAGTAGGGCAAGTGAGTCTTTAGAAATACACAACAGCTGTAAAATGCTCAAAAGTTGAGGTAGAAATCTCAAGACAAAAAAACAACTTGGGATCTGTTTGAACTCTACACAGATTTCATTTTAAAAACCAGTCTTCAAAATCAAAGTTCCCCAGTGGTTGATAAAGAGCTGATGAGTTTTAATTCCTCACCACCAAGTAACCAATTGTAAACCTGTGGTTTCTGCTCTGTCACTTTGTTTTTGGTCACCATTTCTCAGTAATTAAGTGCTTAGGTATCCAATGACTTATTGGTTGTTTTTTTTTCCCACTTCCGAACCTCTTGATTTTAATAAGGGTCATACTGAGCTGTCCAAGCACTGCAACAATTTTTTTTTTTTTTAACATAACAAGCACACTTTTAAGGGCATCACAAATACATATGGTCCAACTAAAGTGATAGGTTGAAATAAAACAAAAAAAAAATAACTCAGTTGCTGGCATGTATAAATTATCTTTTAATTTTCCACTGCTGGGTCAGTCATCTAGTTCAAGCCAGGAAATTGTAATGAAGTATAAATATTGGGCCCAGTAATAATATTGACAAAGGTACAATTTCAAGATTTTATAATCACACTCCAAGACTTGAGTGCTCATTCCAGTGTAGTAGTGATGCAAGCATATGGCACCTCAGACAAGGAAGATCACTTAGGATGAGATTTTAAAATTGAGGTTGCAATATATTTTTATTTCAGAGTTTGAGCATGTATTTTGCTTTTTACAATTCCAGGCCATAGTTTGATGTTTTAATGTCTGCAAAATATCTGCATTTTGAGAAGTTAAGCAGAGTATTTCTCATTTCCTTAATACAAAAGCAAAATACTAGGTGTCTGACATCGGAAATAAAAGCAGAAAATACTCATACTTAGGTAGCCTGGCAACATCCATGGAGAAACAGCATTAACATATCTGGTCAGTGACCCTTCATGTGGGAATTCCACTCCTGCCAACTAATTCTAGCATTTCTGGTTTTATTTCTGTTTTGTCTATCATAGCACAGGTGATTCATAATCGTTCAAAATTGCAGTGAAAAAAGATACTCAGGGTAGAACTGATTAGTGTTCCTCCTGTTTACCAGTTTTGTGCTTTTTCTATATAACACAAAATTTAAGTAGATTAATTTCGATTTGAATGGTTTGAGTACTTTTGTACAATCTGCTGGAATTATATAAGTGAATTTAACTCATTAAGTGAAATGGCATCAAGGAACAATTACTTTTTTCTCCTGAAAAGTTACTGTTGTCATTCAATCTATAATTAATGTTTTTGATTTGTCATTTCATGTTCCAATTGATGTATTTTAATAAGTGAAATTTTAAAAGTGAGAAACGTGGATTTCAGTGGTTGAGTAAATTAGTAGCACCAGCTAAAATAAAGTGTGTTGATGATAGCCAGTTGTGACTTCTAATACAGATTGGAGATTGCCATTTGTCATATAGGTGCAATGAAAACGAATAAAACAATAATAAAGGTTTGATTTAAAGATCGTAAGAACGGCCTATGCCGGAGTCAGAGATAAGTGTGGAGCTGGAAGAACACAGCAGACCAGGCAGCAGCAAAGTTGACGTTTCGAGGTTTATTTAATGTATGTTTGCTATTTAAATGGTTACATCATGATTATATCCTGACAACAGTCAAGCTATATGGCTAAAGACATTTTTAGATAATCTGTGGTTAAAGGAAGATTGATGTACTTTGTAAATCTAATGTGCCACAAATATCAGATTTGAAAAGTTTATTACCTTCACTGACTTCATTAGGTAGACCAGAGATGATACACTGACTTTTTTGTGGAGTGGGTAGGGTAAGAGATGGGAAATTGAGAAGAAATAATCACGGAATTGTTATGTGTAGGAAGCTATTCAGTCCCTCTTGTAGCAGCGGCTCGCTAAATGAGAAAGGAGTTCCAGAAAGATTAAGTAAGGGAGAGTCCGGTTGAAGAGAACAAACTCAAGAGCAAACTAATTTATGTAATCTATTTCTCAGCGTTTTTCTGTTCTATCTTGATTGCAGAATTTTTTTTTAAATCAAATGCATTGACCAATTGATAATTTAGACAGGTATACTAGGTGTGAGCAATTTAATTATGGAAACTCAGGTTCAGGTTAATTTTACTTTGTCTTCGTGTCTAACAAATGTAATTGTATAGGCTATAGTGAGCAGTATGTAGTACATTAGCACGCTAATCAAAACAAAAAAAAAACTTTTGCGAAAGGCGATACATTACAAATCACGGAGCTGAACGTGAGTGAATGAGCTGAAAATAACTAATCGGTGGCGAATTGAATATATTTCCTGTAGAAGAAAATAAAAAGCACTTCTATTTCAGCCTGTGGATTATATTAAAGAGGGGCTGTTTAGCAACGAGGATTACTTCATTATTCTTTAAGTAAAAGGGGGAAATACCACTAACCAGTATGTTGAAGCTGGCGATTTTTAATATTTAATTTTTCAAAAGAAATTAGTTGTTTGATCAGATAATGACCTCACCTCTCTCTCAAATTGCACTTGAATCCCGAGACAATTCCTTCAAATCTGTTGCGGTTTGTCGACGCGCGCCAAAATTTGAAAACCGCGCTTTCCGTTGGGGCGCGGACAGCCATGGAGGTGGGCGCCAGCACAGATGATTGACAATTAACTGCCTGCAGACAACCCAATCATTGCTGGAGGCGAGCATCAGTCTGGTTCTGTGCTCTTTGTACGGCACGCTGGGATTTGTAGTACACCTGGCTTCAATCCTGGGTCCAGAAAATGCAGAACTGACAATCAGGGAACATTCGTGGGTGTAGATGAATTAGGGCAACAACACGCGTCGCTCTCGGAGGCCGGTCGTCAACGTCCTGACAAACAGTCAAACAGGTGGGCTTAATCGGACTACAATTCCCGGCCTGCAGCGTATCTACTTCCTTCCGTCATCTACACCCCTGGAGGAGAGCCGCATGATAACGGCGCCATTTTCTAGTTCATTGAATAAAAGGGGTTTGGCAGCACGGGTTTTTACGAGTCAGTACGAGCCTAAATTTTTATTAATCAGGTAAATACCAAGGAGTTTTAACCATGTCAACTACTCCGGCTCAGAAACACACCCGGGCCAGTGGGGCCCAAACGCCTCTGAGCCCGACTCGGATTACTCGAATCCAGGAGAAAGAAGAGCTGAAGAATCTCAATGACCGCCTGGCCGTTTACATCGACAAGGTACGCTCCTTGGAATGCGAGAATAGCGTCCTGCAGCTTAAGATCTCCGAAAAGGAAGAGGTGACGACCCGTGAGCTGACCGGCATCAAGGCCATGTATGAGACGGAGTTGGCCGACACTCGGAGGTTGCTTGACGAGACAGCTAGGGAAAAAGCGAAGCTGCAGATCGAACTGGGCAAGAGTAAAGCAGAGCTGGACGAACTCAGCAAAAAGTAAAGTAGTATATGTAATACCCACTTTTTAATATGAACTTGACTGATTGGTTGTCTGTTTATATTGAATGTGAAGCTGCATTTTCACACGTGCTCTTTCCCATGTTGTTTCTTAAGCTTCAGTTGTCAATCTATTCAATGTCTCCTTTTTGAGAGGGAGAGATCGTTGAGTCAAAGTACGTGTAAAAGTTTTGATTTTTCGTGTGTGTATGTTTTTAGTGAACTAAACCATCGTTGTCCTGCTTCACCCAACTGTTTACATTTTTGACAGTCGTGTTCTAATTTAAAATTGCTAATATTGACAGTTTACAGTTGAAATCACCTTTTTCCGTACTAAACAACCCCTGCCCGTGTAAGAAGTTCTTTTTACTATGTACTATGATCTTCGAGTAATTATAGCTACTTGGTTATGCTTTGTAACATTCAAAAACAAATTTGGTTGAATTTACTTTTAACTACATTGTGGGAATATTTTAATGCACATCTTGTCAAGGTCAAAGCGGAACTATTGACCAAGATTAGTCTTTTTTGTTTAAATGTTGCTCGTGACTTTGCCTGTATTTGACACTCGTAAGAGATGGGAATTTAAATAAGCTATGTGGCTTCTTCTTTAATGAGGTCATGACTGATTGATTCTCTTTCACATTTCTCTCTTTTTCTCCACCCCCTCCCCAATCCTTTGGTGCCCAAAGATCTTAATGATCTGCAGTCTTTAAATATCTTCATTGAGATGAAGGGTCTTGACCCAAAACGTCGACTTTCATATTCCTCTGATGCCTGACCTGTTGTGTTCTTCCAGCTCCACACTGTATGGACCTTGATAGGGAAGATACTTGGAGCTTTTTGCTTAATTCCTTTTTTCTACTTTTTTTTTATGGAATCTTTCAACTCCTGTTTAGCTGTTTTTTTTCTTTTAAAAGTCAAAATAAATCCATGTAAACAATTCTGAAAGCTCATTGTATAGCTCTTTACCTTCTGTGAAGTTCAATGAACTGACCGTTCTTTGATTACTGTGGACGGTGGGTGTTGTCAGACAATGAAGGCAACAGCTGATGCTGCAGAACCTGAAGATGGGAAAGAAGGATAGGTTATAGGTTTTAGCTTTTATTTTTAAAAATATATTGGTCTGCCTGTTGAATTTCCTCTTTTATTTTTATTTCAATTTGAGCATAAAGTTAATCAATATTGAAGTTAATGGGAGATCAATTTTCAATGAATGTGAAGGAAGTTCCTTGAAAGTGGAGTCACTGGTAGATGAAAAAGGCGTTTGGCATGCTTGTCTTTATTGGCATTGAGTATAAAAGTTTGGACGTCATGTTGTGGCTGTACAGGAGATTGGTTAGGCCAGTTTTGGATTACTGCATTAATTCTGGTCTCCCTGCTATAGAAAAAAATGCTGTTAAACTTGAAAGGTTACAGAAAAGATTTACAAGCCGGGATCGGGAGGTTTGAATAATACGGAGAGGCTGAATAGGGTAGGGCTTTTTTCCCGGAGCCCTGGCCCTTAGAGGCTTACAAAATAATGTGGGGCATGGATAGGGTGAAAAGCCAAGGTCTTTTCCCAGGGTAGAAAAATCCAAAACTAGAATACATAGGTTAAAGATGAGGGGAAAGATTTAAACAGGACCTGAGAGGCAACCTTTCTTACAGAAGTGTGTGTGTGTGTATGGGATGAGCTGGCAGAGGAGGTAGTGGAGGCAGGTACAATTACAACACTGAAAAGGCATCTGGATGGGTATGTCCGTAACAAGGGTTTAGAGTAGTATGGACGAAATGCTGGCAAATCGGACTAGATCAGTTTAGGATATCTGGTCAGCAAGGATGAGTTAGACCAAATGGTCAGTTTTTGTAGTGTATAACTGACTCAGTGAAGGTGGGTGATGGGTCTGGAGTGTATAAAATTTCTTCTGCTATGTCTGAATATAGTTTTGGAGCTGTAAAATGTTTTCAATTGTTTGAGGTTTGTTCAAATAATTTGTACCTGATTTTTAGTTCCTGCTGTAAACGCTGAGTTTAGCTACAGAGCTACAGCATCTGGGACTTGTAACCAATATTTTTGGTTTGAAATGTGTCAGTCTGGTTTCAAAAGCCTTTCTCTACTCAAGGAAAGTTTAAGTCTTTGCACCTCCTTGTCTTGATCAGTAACATTTGCAAACTGGGAGACAATTATTTTTTCTGCTGGTGAAACACATTGGTTCCCTATGTATATGAAATCATTTCTCACCTTGGTGACCAGGTGCTTCTGTACTTTAAACCATGTGACTGTATTCAAGGGTTTAGATTCTTCACAGTATATTTGCTTTAAGGATGCGTGTTCTGATTTCCGAATCTTTACCTAGCTCTTCTGGGGAAAATGATGGACTGGGGTCAGGTGTAATTTAGAATTATCTTGCCTGCTGTAGCCTCGACAGCCTAGAAACAAAAACATAAATGCATTTATCAAAAAATTCTATTTGAGAACATCCCATGATGAAAGCTGGCAAATATAATTGAATGGCAATATTGTTCGTCACTCGTAGGTCAGTTTATGCAAGAGCTGTAAACTGACTCGTGCTTTTTTTTTTTTGTTTGTTTTTTCCGCTATTTCTGTTGGCAATATGACTGCCTGGAAGGTCAAAACATAGTATGAAGCGGATAGGACTGGAAAGCCACTAGGTTTGTGGCGCTGTAGTTGAATCACATTGACCAGTACCTGCTGCTTTATACTTCCAAAGCGAGAAATGGCCACCCTAAGTTGCAACAGAGATAGTAGGAACTGCAGATGCTGGAAAATCTGAGATAACAAGGTGTAGAGCTGGATGAACACAGGCCAAGCAGCATCATAGGAGCAGGAAGGCTGATGTATCGGGCCTAGACCCTCCGATGCTGCTTGTCCTGCTGTGTTCATCCAGCTCTACACCTTGTTATCTCACCCTAGTTGCAATTTGGTTTTTCTTTTGCTCCTGCAGTTTAGCTGGCGAGTTTACTGATTGTATGTCAGCGCATTGCTTTGTCGTTGTCTTCTCCGTAGAGCTATGACCACCTTTGACAATTTCTTTTAAAAATCCTTTAATTGTAATTTGGGTGGCAGTTGCAAGTGCTGGAATCTCTTGTCCTAATAATAGTTACAAACGTGAAAATGGGACTGCTATTGAAACGAAGATAATGGTTTTATCGGTTTTAAATGCGAAAATTGATGGACGGATGCTTCTCTCTCAACTGAAAATGTACCGTACCCAAGGTGCGTTCATTAACTACAAATGGAGAGAATGTCCTTGTTTACGTGGTATATTAACATGTTGAACCAGCGCGGCATCTTTTAATTTCCTGATGTAAAGCCTGCCAGTCTTCCACCAGACATTATGAAAAATTGCTTCATCATTTTGTGGTTCCATTGTAGATCTGTTTTTTGTACATCTGATTTTTCTCTGGCCCGATTGTGATGGGACTCATCTTGAAAATATGAATCCTATTCTATTGAGATGAAATAACGTTTCCCTTATTTCGGCTTTAACCAAAACCTGTCTTCCATTAATTTTGGGGGAGGGGGAGATCACATCTGGATGACTGCTATAAATTTCAGTTGATTTTAATACGCCTTCATTTTTGCTGCCCCAAAGGGGCTGTGCGGGTAATGGTTTTGTTATCGACACCCTAATCCTTTGTGCTCCAGACCTAATGTTCAGGAGTAATGAATAATCACGCCCATTATTTCCTTATTGAATAAAACAAGACGTGTAGAGAAGAATCCATCACATTTTAGGGAATATGCTCGGGAATAATTGCATCTCTAAAACCGATGGGGTTGGCGACCTAATCTAATTCGGACGTTATCGATTTTATTGTTTAAGTTATTTTGCTTTATCTCCGGATACCGCGATGTATTTGTATTGGGTGGGGAGGGAACACCGGTTCTTATCCAGCTCTTAATGTTCTTGAGCCGTTGGTTGCAACGAATGCATGACTCCATTGTATCGAGCTGGATAGAATAGACACTATAGACAAAAGTGGAACTAGAGGAAATACCGGCCAGGCAGCATCAGAGTCGACGTTTCGGGCCTGGACCCTTCATCAGGACTGCTCCACACTGTATTGACTCAATTAGAACATTTTATCCATTTTTTTTTCCTCTTTCTGAATAAGATCTCTTTTTTAATCTACTGCAGTGCAGCAGCTTCAACTAATTTGTGTTCGTGGATTTAATGTCGGGTAGATCACGCTATAACAGGAAACGCAATGAAACTGAAATGGGTCAGCGGTTCCCGGCTTTCTTTCGAGGTGGGGGAAGTGGATATTCTTTGGGAGGGAGAGGAGTATCGTTGTACTCTAAGTCGCTAAACATGCGGGAAATTTTAGCTAAGGCCATAGTTTAAAACAATTTCCAGCTGAGCTTGAGTTTTTAGGGGCTTCAGAAGTCCAAAAATAGTGTTGCTGTACACACCCTTTATCACACTACATTGTGGCACAGCAAGTGAGCAGCCAATCGAGTGTAACTAAGTATCCAATCAGGATCAGGATTGAGATTTCTTGTTAATTTTGTTCCTGACACGGTGGATCCTGTCTTTTAAAGTGCATTGCTACTGGATAGTTTGAATCAGGAGGGCGGCTATAGCAGAATTTCAAATCCTATTGTGGTTTCTCGTATCTGATTTCTCGTTTTAACATGTTTCGTTGCAAAATTGAGTAAGATAGTTATTTTAAACAATTGGTTTTGACATCAGGAAATACGCAGATCACTCATTCCAGTTGTTTTAACATGGCAAATCGTGATTTATTTTTTAATTTCCTTGGGATTCTAAGTGCACAACTAAAAGAAGGATTGGCCAAGATGTTTTGTAAAATAAGTCTAAATGACTTAAATGAGGGTTTTGAATGAATTTGGGGTCTTTGTTAATAATTCAGAAATTAATTGTTGTTGCATAGTATGATGAAAGGTGTGTATTGTCACTTTTTGGAATGTTGGATTTTTAAAAAAGGCAATTGGAATTTGGTCAGTTATTTGGATAGTGACCTTAAATCCA